GACAGACAGACAGACAGACAGACAGACAGACAGACAGACAGACAGACAGACAGACTAACAGACAGACTAAGTGAGAGAGATAGAGAGAGAGACAAACAGACAGACAGACAGACAGACAGAGAATGAGAGAGAGGAGGTATGAAGGGAGTTAAGACTTCACAAACTATTACGTCCACGTCCACTTCCATTCTTATTTACACGCCAATAACAATAATTATTTCAATCCAGTGCCTGAAAGTAAAGCAGAAATCTTTACTCACCTGGAGGCGGGGTAGGAAGAGTGGACGTGGTGCTGGGGTTCGTCGGAGCGTCTGTGGGGATGAAAGAGAAGATGAAGATAACATTGTAGTACATTATCTTTGCTTCCAACTACGCGCGCATCGCTCACATTCAACAGGATGAGGATGAGGAGGAGGAGGAGTAGAAATCCACACTCGAATCGGCCCCGTGCGAAAGCACCAACTTCATAGAAACACTGTAGCACACCTTGCACTTGCACCAGCCGACAGACACTTTCTTTCACCAAACGCAGAAGAAGTGCTGCTCTAGATCCTCGCTCGACCAACACTGTATCATGATTGTAGTGGTTGGTGGAATTTCCAGCAAAAATGTCGACGAGAAGAAGAAATATTTCGCGAGGAATAATAACTGAATTCACTATCCCCTCGATCGGCGGACGTCGTCGTCGTCGTCGTTGTCACCACAACAGCTTTTCAAACTCCCAACAGAATATTGACACAACTTCTTGCACTTTGACGGAGCGCTTCCCTCCCTCCACGCTGTAGGTCCTAGAATGAAGCCCACACAAACATTCTTTCCCGACTCTTTTAATTTCCGACTAAAATATGCCCTTGCTGTGTCTCAAACTCTAAGCGGACGGACGGGGCTCTTCTAGGCTCGAGGAATGCAAAGACATGTGCCGTTGGGCGTTCGTCAAACCTCAATAACGTGTGTGTGTTTGTGTGTGTAAAGGGGGAGTGGGGAGTTGGGGGACGGGGGAGGGGGGAGGGGGGGCAACATTATAATTCACAAGCTCGCAAGTCCCCTAGCACGGAAGGCATACGAGGCATACTCCGAGATAAATATTTACTACATTCTTTTCCGATTCAAACTGTGGTCTGGTTAGAAAAGGCAGAACGAAAAAAAAAGAAAGAAAAAAGTGGAAGAAGACGAAGAAGAAAGGGTGTGGAGAAAAGGGGAAGAGCGGGAGGAAGAAAAGAAGAAAGAAGACCGTCAACGCGTAAGACCGGATCAATTATTCGGGCGCCTTCCCAGCTTTGACACCGGACGCGATTACCCAGCAGGGACCGTAACTCTCTGCTATTTTCCCGACGCAGCAAAGCAGAACGTGTTTGATAGTCTGTTTTCTTTTCAGAGGTTTCCACTCCTATAGGGAAGTGGCCTATTAATAAACACAGCGCTCTTTTGGACGCTTGAGACTTTTTTTTGTCTGGGTCTCTCTCTCTCTCTCTCTTTCTCTCTCTCTTTCTCTCTCTCTCTCTCTCTCTCTCTCT